CTTCTGCTGAGCCTCGCGCAATACCGCCGCATACGTCACGCCCTTCTCAGCCGCCTCCGGCTTTAAAGTGATCACCACCGCCGAGGAGCGGGGGAGACGCGTCCAACTCCTGCCTAACGGATACAACTTTAGTCTGAGGGGTTCGATCCCCGTTCAGCAACTACTATAAAAGCTTGGGACTAGATACTGTGAAAGTTGTCCTAAATCATTAATATTATAACAATCCATAAAATACACTGCTTGTTTTTTTAGTAACAATATTATAAAAAAAAATCGAGGTCTTAAATTTTGACAAACAACATCGAGTGTAAACCTTTTTAGACAGCAACGTATTTGTGTATTACATAAACACGTACCCTTTCAGCTTATTCAAATATTATAAACAACTTTAGCAAATTGTAGGCAAATGGCTTACCGTCACCCGATGTCTCATTATCAGATTTGTGCCGCGAACGCTTTGATTACATTGCGGGCTTAATTCGAGTTTACGGACTACTTACATAACAAAGTTATTATTGCTTTTACAATGTGGTGAGTGTCAGATCCCCCTGTGAAGTATGTCTAAATATTTTAATTTTAGTCTTAAAATAATATAATATTTTTTGCATCTATGGTGTATCTAATTTTAAAAGCGTTTTAACACTGATTTAGTAATAGAAATAATCTTTATTAAAATAAACTATAAATATAACCTCTTAGTTTCCAACAGTCTGAGTGAAATTTGAATTCATTATAAAAAAAAAATATTTGAGATTATATAATAAATAATGTCTGTAATTTCGAATTGATAATCAATTAGATTTTATGCTATAAAATATCAACCGGCTTCAATGTCGTATTATTATATTTTTTATTAGGATTTTGGCCTGTTTTCAGGTGTTAAGTCCTGTAACATAGCGACTTGTATAGACCTATTGTGCTCGCCCTTTTTCAAAGTTCGCTACCTAGACCCGTGAGGGACGAATTGAAGGTTATTCTTAAGAACGATGGTTTTTATCTCCTCAAGATAGAGTGTATACTTTCCAAAGGGTATTTTGCTTGTGCATAAGTAGGCTACAACTACATAGGATATTCTGCACACTGCACCATTAATTGCGTATTTCTCAATTAATGTTTTAATAAAAATAAATTATATTAGTAACTGCACTATATTTTTTTTTTTTTTTTTTTTTTTTTTTATTTTGGCACATAACAGTCAATACATATACTAGTAATATAATATAACATTATGTTGAAAGAAAAGACCAAACAGTACCGAAACTTAAACTAAACAAATAAGTGATTATTACAAAACTTGTTGAAAGGAAATAAATCTTAGTATACAATATATACAGTTGTTGAGTTTGTATATGTGGATCTGTGTGTGAAAAAATATATGAGAGTGCTTATATATTATTGTGTGTTCGATTTAAAAGTCGTGCAATGGAATAATGACAATAAAATTTAAGCAATAAAAAAAAAAAAAAACATAAAAATAAAGTAAAATAAAATAAAACTTCTGCCTACATATTAACATTTTCTTGTATTTTTTTAATGTTGAGTTTGAATGTTCTCAGAGAGCTATTAAATAAATCAAGGTCTGAGTATTCCTTGTTGTACAAATTTAAACATCGATAAAAGAAATTGTTACGTGTATAATTCTTTTTAAGATTGGGCGGTACAAACGTAGCGATTGTACGAGAGGTCCGAACAGGAATACGAACTTTAGCTAAGAAATTAATTTTAGACAACAAGAAGGGAGAATCTATGTGGTTGTTCAGAATTTTATATAGGAAGACTAGGTCGAATTGCTTACGACGATTACTGAGGGTTTGTAGCTTATAGAAAGAAAGATTATCCTTATATACGTGATTAAAGCGGTTACTACGAAAATTTAAAATTTTTATAAATTTTTTCTGAACCTTTTCAATTCTGTCAATATTATGATTATAAAGAGGGTTCCAGACAACACAAGCAAAGTCGATAATTGATCTAACATAGGAATAATATAAGAGTTTTAACGTACTAATTTTTTTAAAAGTTTTAGTTACTCTGTTGATAAAACCGAGGCTTCTGAGGGCTCGATTTGCTGCCGTTTCAATATGTGTATTAAAATTTAATTGATGATCCATTACTATTCCAAGATCACGGACAACCTCAACACGATTCAGTGGAGAATTACTAATACTGTAGTTAAATTTTATAGGAGATTTTTTACGCGTGTACGTTATAATGGAACATTTATCAATATTTAAGAAAATTTGGTTATTATTACAATAATTACACAATGACTGAAGATCTGATTGTAGATTAAGGCAATCACGATTTGAAGCAATGCATCTGTAAAGTTTCATGTCGTCTGCATAAAGCAAGTGGTTTGTATTGGAAAAGACATCTCCAATGTCATAAATATATAATAAGAACAAAACAGGGCCCAAATGTGAACCCTGCGGCACGCCTGACGGTATCTTTAAAAAGTTTGAGCAGTAACCTTTGACACATACAGCTTGGCTTCGGTTTCGTATATATGAATCAATCCATCGCAACAAGTTACCATGTATGCCGAGTTTCCAAAGTTTGTTGATTAGAATATCGTGATTTATTTTATCAAAGGCTTTTGAGAAATCAGTATACACGACGTCTACTTGAGTATTATTGTCCATTGCCTGCAATAAAAAGTCTGTGAAAGTGACCATATTTGTTTCAACACATCGAGATTTAACGAAACCGTGCTGACTTTGTGATATGTGAAGTCGAAAAGCATCTGCAAGTTGAGACGTTATAATCTTTTCAAGTATTTTACCAAACACGCAAAGTTTAGATATGGGTCTGTATTGGGAAATTTGGGTTATTTGTTTATTTTTTGGGATCGGTGTAATTAGTGCTCTTTTCCACGTAGTTGGAAACACCCCTGTGTCAATTGATTTCTTAAAGATAAGAAATAAAGGTTTTACCAATTCGTCTGCACAGACAGATATGAGCAGGGGATGAATTTCATCAGCACCAGCTCCTTTATTAATATTTACATACTTTAAAGCTTTTTCAACAAGATCTTTATTTATATATATTTTGTTAATATCAACAACGGATTGCGCAGTCGTTTTGTCAGATGATAACAATGTACATATATTGGCGGTCACGGAGGAGTCAACGAAAACAGAATTGAAATATTTATTAAAGGATTCACATATGCCAGCACCGTCCATTATAACTTTATCATTATAAATCATGTTCAAGGGGGTATCGTTAATTAGTTTTTTCGATTTAACATAAGTCCAAAATAATTTTGGAGATTGCTTAATTTTTTCCTCTGCGTATTCATTATATTTAGAGTGACATTCTTTCTCCATTTTACGTAACCTCTTCCTTAAAATAGAATAAGTATTATAATCTTGTAAATTACCATAAATTTTCCATTTTTTATGAATTCTCTTTTTTTCATTGCTTAGTTTCATAAGAGGTTTGGTATACCACGGGGGGTACTTAGGATTATTACAGACGGTACGTGTTGGAACATATTTTTCAATTACTCTATAAAGTATGTCATAAAAATATTTTACCATATCATCGATATTATTAAATACGGAAAAAACTGCGACCCAGTCTATGGAATTTAATTCAGATTTTATTGAAGTGAAGTCAGATTTAAAAAACATTTTCCTTTTGTACCCTTTGCTTTTAAGTGAGTCTGGTAGACACAGCGCTAAATCAATATCTAATGCCTTGTGGTGAAGGTCTTCGGATACTATAGGAGACTCGCATGTAGTAATTTTGCAACGCATATTACAAAATACTAAATCTAAAAGTCTGTTATTATGATTACATAAAAAATTGTATTGGGATAAATGCGAAAGATTTATAAAGTCATTGGTTAAAGTCACTAATTTACAGTTGCTAATACGGGTATTATAACTAGCGTCATCGTCATCGTAGTACCACTCAGCATTTGTGATATTAAAGTCCCCGAGGACTAAATAGATATCTTGCGGTTTGGAATGCATTTCATTTATAATTCTGTCATAAAATGATGAGAGAGTTGACTCATGGTTTACACCGTGTGGTATATAAGTGTTTACAATTAATAAATTCCGCGAGATATGGGGGGTATCACTGCCCAGACCACCACCCCCGCGCACCGGCACGCTCACCCACAGCTCCTCGGCGTGCGGCGGCGGTGGCGGCTCGCGGCCGCACTCGTTCCGCTCCCGCGCACACAGCTCGCGCCGTACCGCTATAACAACCCCTCCACCGCGAGCGCAACCACTAGCAAAAAAATCACGATCGTCTAAATACATCATACCTACTATCGAAGTATTCCGCGCTATGAAATGAATCGTTCAACCACGACTCTGTTATACATATAACGTCGTAGTTATTATTTAATATATTGCTTAAAAATTCGTAAGATTTTGTTCGTAAGCCTCTCGTATTTTGATAGTAAATAGATAGATTACTGTTAGCCATCTTTAATTACATGTATGTGTTTAAAAAAAAATGAAATTAATAAAATATATATACAAATGCACCGGTCCACCTGAATCTTTCCGGAAACAAATCAATATAAATAAGGAATACATTTTGCTATATTGAGAACATTCGCAACACAAATAATGACAAAATGAATATATATGTACATTATAGTAGTAACCTATTGAATTTGATAATACAATTATAGTTTTATAGTTAACAACGGATTTAACTTGAAAATACTCCGAAGTCACAAATTTTTTAAAGATTTTTAGGCTTTTTAAATTTTTTAGCAATTTAATTTTAATTAAGTATAAGTAACTAGTGACATGTCTGCAATAAATCAGTTCATGTAGTATATTAATATAAATTAAATAGATCACAAAACTCAAAAATATAAAAACCAACACACTCCTTAAGTAAATGATGATTTTTTTATGATTACACAATACATACAAGATCAATTTTATAATAAAGAAGTTATTGAGTAAGTATTTCTGTTGTTTTAATATATTAGTAACATTAAGTAATACCGTGAACACTAACAGTACAAGTCATTTTATTTTAGTTAAATCGTTTTCACTTAAGATAAGAATAGCTTTTGATGTTTCATTCTTACGTACGAATATTCTGCTGTCATTTAGCCAGATGAACTTATAGTCATACTCCCTTCCAAGTTTTCGTGCTCGGCCATACAGCTGTTTGTTGTGAGGCGCTAAGTGATCATTAATGAATATCGGTTTCGCCGGGCCGTCGATGTTCAGGTCAGCTGTGTTTAAGTTACGTCGCGCTCGAATGGATGCAAGCATATCCATTTTTCTTTTTTTCTGTGTGAACCTGACGATGATATTTGCAGTTTGAGCTGGGCTTTCATCGGTATTACTATGCCTAGGATATCTTCTGACACGATGGATATAATCAATATCTGATGGTGACAATATAAATCCAACCACGGCGGCAATTCTGTTAATAATATTGTATAAATTTTCGCCTTTGATGAGCGGTACCCCGGAAATCTCAAGATTATTCATTCTTCCCAGCTGTTCCTTCGACTGTAACTGAGTAGTGAGTTCAGTAACAGATTTCTTGTTAGTTTCTAGCTGTTTTTCAAGGGTTTCTATTTTGAAGGCACTAGTTTCAACTTCTTGCTTAAGGTCAGAAGTGATCGTTTTTAAACTGTTCTGTTCACATAACAGGGTATTATTGGTGTGTTTTATATCTGTAATTTGGGATTTGATGTCACCGATGCTTGTATACAGTTTCTCGATGGTATCGTTCTGTTTAGTTAATAAATCTTTCATCGATGCCATCATTTTCTGTTGAAAATTGTCCAATGTATTTTTTAGTTCCTGGCGATATTCATTCATGACGTTCATAAGTTCCTCACGAGTCTCCAACATAGAAGCAGACAAGTCACGTCGAAGTTCTCGAACAGAGGAGTCCTCATTTTCGGGTACCTTCCGCTTGCGATACGTTGTTTTACAATTTTGTAGGTCATCAGAGAATATAGATAAATCAGGATCGGACGCTGATATAACGCCTTTAGGTGGTGTTCTCTGAAGGCTCATTTTGCACTGTACACGTGTATTCGTACGCTGTTCCAAAACGAATAACAAGAACAAAAAATAACAACTGTCTCTTTTACTCGAGGGGGTGAAGGGAGCCGCTAATGTTAGGCACCCGCAAATCATGCACTTATAACGAACAATTTAAATTGATAACAACGAGTCACACTTTAAGGTTGATATTAGCTCGTTACACTTTATTATTTTAATTGGAATTAACGTAGTAAAAAGATAAACGTCCCTTTGTCAACAAGTTCAGAATGCAACTGATAGTATAGTATAGAGTTATTGTAAGCGATCATTTACAAACAACCTTTGATTTTATTATATAAAGCAGTTTCAATAGTTTGTTATAATCAACTAGATTGTAAAGGCTGTAATTTGTCAATTGCAGTTGCTATTAATGCAACTTGATTTGAATCTACAATAAATAAATTAAGATAACAATACAAAGTAAATTACAATTTCGCTTAAGCATTATATTGTTTTATAGAAACGTTTCTAGAATATTAAATCGCTTACATTAATCATAAACCAAATATAATTGGTATTTGGCTGGCGTAGACTATGAAAAATATCGTACGATCGTAAATACTCAATTTAAAAACCAATAAGTAGACACAAAGTTTCTTAGAATTACCTATTTGTTGCTTTAGATTTACCGCAAATAACTTTCGTTATTATTTCCCACGAAAATATAGTCTCGTATTTTTTTACTTTACTAATAATAGTACACAAGATGGCGGATGGATAAAATTTTCGTAATATTGTACGTGTTACCAAAATTTTATTTCTTTTATTGGTAGTGGTTGTTAGAAAAGAATATTAGAAAAATACTTTATTATAGAACTGAAATGGTAAATAAACTTATGACCCATTTGATGAACAGGGAACTGCTTATTTTTTTTTTATTCTTACTCCATGTTCACGCAAAGGAACGGAAACAATCAAGCACTATCTTATAGGCACATTTCCTACAGTTTTACTGGTCTCATATACTTTAAAATTAAGCGTAATAGATTTAAAGAATACAAGAAAATCTATATTTATTCTAAATATTTATTACAGACTAAACATTTGCGTCGATATATATATAAGTACTCGTGCCTATAGCCCTGAATTTGAACCTGTCTGACCTATCCAGACTCTGTAATTTTCCATACATATTTATAGTTATTTAATAAAATCTTTGCTACTAGCTACAAAATTTGAACAACAATGTTTAATTTTGTTCATTACCTATGAACATAAGTTATTCAATAGCATATAAATATATTACATAATTCTGTAATAATATATTAAATTATGATACCAACATTAGCAATTGTTAATTCGACCTGTTTACTGGTGCACAAATCACCATTAAATCGACAAGGGGCCCATTGATCGTATAAGCCTATCGGAATTGATACAAATGATTGTTTAGGTAGATAAATTATTATAGGAAATATTTGGGAGTAGTTACGAAATATTGGGGGAGGACAGGGTTATAAATATGGTATTGTTGTGCCAGATCAAAATAAGGAAAATGCGCTATAAAAGGGATGTTTCGGAAAGCTATTTAGGTTTACCTTATATGTATTGAATATTTTACCAGATTTTCATACTAAACAATTAAAATGTATAAAGATACTAATAGACAGTAAATGAGAAAGTGTGTCTGTCTGATTGTTACCTTTTCACAGCAGAACTGAATTCATAAAGGTAGATTTGTGTTTTCTTTTTGCTTAAAAAATAAACAGTAGGGGTGAAATAGGGGATGAAAGTCTGTGGAGACGAAATCGCCAGTAATACATAGTAATAAACTTCAATTTATGATTTTATTGCCACATTTAAAATGCAGATACAATCGAGAAGAATAGTCGAGTTTTCTACCCCTCCGGGATAATAGTCATGTTGTGATACATCTGTTCTATTATAATAATATATACTTTCAAGACTGTTATCCCACAGGGGGTAGCAGAGGTGTCATCAACTTTCGATTGGGTGGTGTAAGCATCGCTTAACACAGGTAGATTTTGCTCGGTATATTGAATCCAACTGGTCAGAAGCCGAGTTTACTGCCGTCTCTCCATTTACTATTTTTGAGCTGTTTTTATGACCGCTTGATCAGAAATATAAATTGACACAATATTTTTTTGTGTTTTACTATCATTATAATACCTAGAAGAATGATTGATGACTATGACCTATGAATACAAATGTTTAAATTTTCCGGAATTCGTACCCGCGTCCTTTCAAAAGTTAGGCTTTTAACCACTAGATCACAGAGGTTATGTTATTTCCATTACTACAATTGGTATAGGAATGAAAACGAAATTTTTTAAAAGCAATAATATGTATTCAATATATTTATATCCTCAGAATTCATAGGAAAATCTTCAAGGAAAACCCTTCAGAATTTAAAGGTAACTCATTCACCCCTCGGGAGGACCCGAAACGCATCAAAGTGACAGTTGTGACCCCATCGCCCTCGACCAGACCTTTGTCATACAAAAAAGGTTTTAAACTTGCCACTAACTTGGCTTCCTCAACTTAACACTTCACTCGGCGAGGACACAGTTGTCCCTTGTCAAAAAATTGCGGTAAAAATGTCAAGTTTATTGATCGAAGGTTATGAACTAATATTTGTAACGTAAATAAACATGTATATTTAATTATTAAATAATCCATAAAAACATGTAAATCTGTCTGTTTGTTACATTTTCACTACTGTTGCGTGAAGTTGATGTCTAAACAGCAGACGAAGTCACAGATAGTTGATGTTTATAAATTCTAAATATTAAACCTTATAATACATGTGTAGAGATTTGTACCAAAATTCAGTAAAAAAAGCTACCTAATTGAGTAAAATATCAAAAATTATTACATTCACGGCATTGGTAGTGGAAGTTAGTAAGGGTGCCTTTGATAAATACCATGTGTATATGTATTTATATATAACAATTTAAAAAAAACATATCTATATATTTTGTCAGTTGTATATCTTTAGTCGAAGCTCTGATTTATTCGGAACTAGATGACGTTGTGGACGGCTTTCAGCCGTATATATATATACAGATTCGTCACACATTGTTTTTCTTCTAATAACGATTGTCACATCTTGTTTTCTTGCGTAAGCGAATAATCCCGGAAACATAATTCCAAGACATTTGTCCTGGCGATTCCCTAATGAATACGCAACGGGAGGCTCCCATTTCGGTCGCCGCGTACAACCCTATCTTGATTGAGAAGGATTATGTAAGGTATTACAATGAATAGGCTTCTCTTTTCTAATTTTGCCGAAGAAAAATTGTTCCGATTAATACTTCGCTACTCATCGATAATGACTCTTGTTTCTGAGCTTGTAAATGTTATTTCTCTTTACAACCTTTTATATACGGTAAAGTACTAGAAGTTACAAGCAACTTGAACTAATAAAAACGTAGGAATCAAGCGAATTACTTTTAAACTTAAATCAATATAGGTACTCACTATGTAAATAATCTTAAAATATTTTTTTAATTCATTTGTAAATACACAGACCTACTTCTTACCAACAAAGACATTGCATATGAATATCTTATAAGAGTAGAAAGTTCTTCTGTTATAAGCTCTTTGCAATAATAAACTTTTTGATCAAGTAATTTCATTGCACTCTTTTGTGCAATGAAATTACTTGATCAAAAATTGGCAATATTTTGTGCGTTTAATATTCACTAATCAATAAAATCTTTTACCGACTTGTAGACTTTACACGAAGTCGTCAAAATAGATGCTGTCTAACTTACTCGTATTCCAGCCGCCAAACAGCTTGATTAGTACCATGTATTGGTTGAAGGGACAGATATGTCAGTGAAATTACAGGGTAAGTAGACATTAGATCAGTATAGCAACACATGAGTGGAGCCAGGCGTGTCACATTATATTGTGATATCCCCAGTGCTACAGTGGAATTCATGTATATTAGTAACTGTTGCCACTTACCATCATTGTTTTTTTATGTAGGTATAGAACTTATGACCGACACGGTGAGGCAGTTAACATACTGCCTCACCGTGTTTCGATACAGTACCAAGGTTGTTAGTTATATTACAAACAAGAGAATATGTAGTTAAAGTGATATTCTTATAGTAAACACAGACAGACATTTTTTTTTGTAACTATACTTACTTTTTATAAGACGTTGGAATGGCAGATAAGCTGACGGCCCACTGTCGCCCATATAACTATATATACACGAGCGTTCTCTATGTACATAATATCTAAATCTTACAATGCTGGACTAAGGACTAAAGTATTGTAAATCTGTACCTAGTAATTGTAATCTTGATTGCTTGCCAACATGATTACTATTCATTACATACATACATATGTTATACTTATTATATATTACACGGACTGCAGAGATCTTCGATATTCGAAGACTTTCGGTACCGTATCTATAAAAACAGCGATAGACAATAAGAAGTAATTGTTATTACTTAATGAAAAGCACTTTCCCTAATACCGAAGAGGATAAGTAGTTACAGAGTATTTTCAGGAATGCTCTTGAAGCTGAAGGTCAAAGGTAACATTCGTAAGATATGCGTGTCATTCACAGTACTTTAGCTCTTTATTTTATTATAGCTGAGATTTCGCCGCGTCAATTCTCATTGCAATATTGTAATAAAAAGAGATTATTTTTTTATTTACGACAAATACGATACACAAATATAAAATTGATGTAAGCCACACATATTTATTTGCATTTATTTGTATTTTTGTATTTATTTGCAAAATTTAATACAAATTTGTTTAATACCATAAAAATCACAACTCTCGACGCTAACTCGATAGGTATTAGCTGTTAGACAATGCTATATGCAATATCACTTAACTTTTGATGCCGATAAATAGGATATATTTGATTAGCTGTACACAATGTACGGATAACAATAAAATAACATACTTATTATATTAATACTATACCATAGTATTGTAACACATATAAATAAACCTAATACTTCCAAAACAATAATAGA